GGCTGTTGCTGGTGCACTTTGTGTGGAAGTCGAAGTTTTATGTATGGGTTTTATGTTAATTTTAGTTTCTTAATTTTAGTGTTTTAAGTAGTTTTTATTTTTTAATTATTTCATATATTTTTCAGTCTTTCAATCATGAATATTGCATTTTTTTTAAAATTTTGTTATTAATTAATTTATTAAATTTATTTAAATATATATTTTTAATCTCTTAATTTGTAGTATATATTTTTTTATCTTTCAATTTATAATTTATACATATTTTTTTATTTTTTAATTTAAAAATTATGAATTAAAAAAATATATATTTAGACAGATTTAATAAAATAACAAAAAAAATATTCTTCATAATAATTTAAGAGTAAAAAAATGCATAAATAGTAATAATAATAAAAATAAAACTGAAATTGAGATTTAACTTTTAGGTAAAGAAGTGCGAGTCTTGATATTCCCAATCCCCTGAGTTGAAGCCAGCCTGCAGCTGTCGATTGTTTTCTTCCTTCATTATTGGCATCTAGACAGCAACCATCACGATCCCAAAGAAAAGGGAAACAACAATAATTGTAGATGAGATCACTACGATATGATTTTATGCATGTAAGGTTTGGTTCACACCATTTTTTGGATTCATTAATAAAGTAAGAGATCGGGATTCTAAGTCCAAAGTTTTTTTAAATTCAAATTCTGTAAGAGAATGCCAAAAAAGACTTTGCTACAAGATTGACTGAGAAGAGGAAATGCAATTTTGCATAAACACTGAATGGTCAAATGATAGGTTTTCAGGGGGTTTCGTGTTTCGATTTACCATTTTTTGCCCCTTGCAAATGATATATCAAATATATGTTGTCTTCTTCTCCTTCTTTCAATCTCAACGTTGTAATTAGATTAATTTAAGAAGGGCAACTTGGGAGGTGACTAAGGTAGGCAGCAGTCTTTGAATTTCTCTTTGGCATGTCCCCAAGTGCTAAATTTCACCCATAAGGAACTGCAGAGGGTTTCAACCCTTTTATCGCTATGAAGCAAATCCAGGTGAGGTCTTGGCGTAACTAAAAACCAAAATTAAGCTCCATAAACCCCGTTTCCAGGGTCATATAATATAAGGGGAAGAGAAAATGGGGAGCCTAGACCATGGTTTGGGAACGAGTTATGCACCCAAATTAAATCATGGTTTGGAAACGAGTTATGTATATCAATGAATTATAAATTTTAATGAAAATAGTTCAGTTCCTTTTAAATAAAGTTTCGAATCGAAAAATTGTGGATGAAAAAACAGACGTTAAAAAAGTTTTTTTCTTATAAAGTTTGACGCAGTTCAATTTTAAATTAATCAAAATTTAATATGGTTATTAAATATTAAAAAATTATTATAAAAAGACGAGTTATGTATGGTCTTTCTCTTTAGGGCAGTTTAGATGATGCTGTCACCAAAACAGTAATATAAAACCCCACTAGCCTACGGGACCATTGAAGTAACACTGATGACACTCCATTTGATGTTTGTTTGTTTGTTTGTTTTTTGGGTACTGAATTATTATGATGTTTGTAGTTTGTTGATCACCTGTCTTATCACGCACTAAAATTGATATGCCAAAAAACTTTAGATGGTTGGATCTCAAAATTTTAGTTTTTCCTCTTTTTTTTTCTTCTTTCTTTTTTGCCATCCACATTTTGAGGTTAGTATATAATTATTGATGACTCACTTTATACATATATATATATATATAAAGTCAATTGATTAAAATCTTGATGTGAAATCGATAAAGAAGAAAAATAAAAGTTCAAACCTTAATCATAAAAGTAATTTTTTTTTATGAATAAATTAATCAATTACTATACAAGACTTCCTCAATGATTTACCATTAGTTGGAATGTTGTAGAAAAAAAAAAAAAACTAAATTGCATTTTAATCTTATATAAGTAGATTATGTATAGGCTTTAAACCCAAAACCTGCCCGCCATGTGGGCTATATCGGTCAGGCGGTCCAACAGCAAATAACTTTCTCAGTTTTCAGGCCTTGCCTTGGGCTTTAAAAAAGCCCTCAACCACTTACTAATATGAATTATATTTAGTACCTAAAAATTTTTAAATATAACTTTTTAATTTTAGTATTTATTCAAATACTTAAAAATTTATATATGACTTAATGCAACAAGTACCTAGTAACTTGCCCTATACATACTTTTATGTACTTCAGTTAGAAAAAGAAAAATTCTACCATGAAATGTTGTTATTACGAGTGTTAAGAATTAAGATTTATTGTTTATACAAGTTTTTATTACTGCATATGTGATTTGTATGACTAATTTGTTTGATTTATAGACCTTATTTAACATTTATTTCTATTTTTTATATTTTATTATTTTTATTTCTAAAAACTTTTTATTATATAATAAGTATATATAAAATTTTAATTATACAAGTATAAATAACAAAGCAATTAAACAAATCAATTAAATAGTTCAAATAAATAATTTTAAACCCTTATATTTGTTATTTGATTTAATACTTACAAGTATACTATTTTTATATAAATTACTTACCTATTTTTTTACAATTTAGATATGATACTTAAATGAGTAAAGTACTTGCAAAACAAATAACGGGTATACCAGTACCTGATACTCATCCCTATGGAAAACTCACAAATGCAAGGAGGGGTTCAGAAAAGCCCACACTCGTAAACCCATCCCAACTGTAAATGCATCCTGCTCGCTGTTCTTCAAAGTGACAACAACATATGCTTGTAGTTTTGTTGAAGTAAAGAATGTAATATCTATCTTACACTTTGTAAGTAAAAAGATCTTGGAGGACAAACAGAATTGAACCTTATTCTCTTAGTTCAAGTCACATTTAAACAAGATTTTATAATGGAGAAGCTTCAATTTCATCAGGATGGAAACATCTCAACTTTTGGAATCACTTGCATGCAGCTGAGCAGAAACATCATCTATGGCAGAATTAAGCTGTTCAATCTTCTCTTCAAGTATTCGGCGATTTTTCTGTAGTCACAATACCACATGATCAAAGTAATTTCAGCAAAGGATAATGCATGCACAAGACAGAATGACGACCAATTCAGATGATTTAAGCTCTTTTGATTGCAGGGTTGAACCAAAATCCTAGATGTAAATCCTACCCCTTTAAATATTTTCTGATTACGAGGCAGATAGCTAACAACCAGTTAAAAAGTAAAGATGCTACAATTTACCCCCTATCTCTGTGCTAGTTGTGATGACCTAACAGCAAAAGAATTATTAACAGCATAAAGAAATTAAACAACCAAAACCCCAATATGTTTACACTAGAACATGTTTGGTTTAATGGAAAGATTATTCCATGAACATTAAGTACAATAAAGGAAGAATATAAAAGTAGGTATAAGGTCACCTATTTTCTTTCAATAAGTGCAGCTACCCTAGGTTTTAGCTGTTATCACCTTATTCCCATTCTTTGAAAGAAAAAAAGGAACCCTATTTGCACGCATGTTATGTTATCCTACTCCAGACCAGAGCACTGGCAGAAGAAGAAAAGAAATGAAACAGATAGAATTGACCAAAAAGTTTTACCTCCAAAGCTTTCTCTTCATCATATATAAATTTTGGCAGCTTTCTCATCAAATCTTTTCTGTCAACTCCTGCAAGTGCCTTGCTGATCTGTAAAATAAGATGTTGCATCAATTTAAATAGAGTCATAGACTCATCAAACAATCCTTCTTACTTCTAAAGTGCATTGAATTATTGCTTGTAGGGGTAGGCCATAACCCACACTGACAGCCAATAGTATGTGCTGGTGAAGCCCATGTTTAATTTTTATTTTCCTTTAACATTTACAAATGAAAGTCCTCTTGCATTACAGTGCACAGTATCCAGTCATAACAATTTGGAGAAGAAATGATTATGCATACAAGAACCAAGGACCACAAAGAATATTGAAAATGCAACTCTAGCGGATAGAACATAGGAGAGATATTCCAAACATACCTGTGGAGCATAAACACAGCCCAAAGTTCCCACAGTTAGTCCTCCCAGTATAAAACCACCAATGAAGAGACCCGCACCACCCCGTCTTCCCCCATCCCTACCAAACTCAATAAGAGAAATACATTTTCTTGTAAATGGAGCTCACTTGGCAAGCATTGAAATGCAGAACAATCAACATCAAAGGGCTTTACAGGAGCCCCCAGACCACTAACATTCGACCACATTTATTCTTAAGAAAAGCAAGATATATTTTTCACACCTTCTTCAAATTCTCCCACTAGAATAAACAGCTAAATGTTAAGAAATGCCTTTCATTTACACTGACACAACTTCCACATAGGAGAAAAAAAGTTACCCATCAGTGGTTATTGATGCAAATGGTCAAGCAGTCATCAAACACGAAAATAAAAGAGAAATACAACAAGGAAACATGTCTAAAACAAAATCACATACATACCCTGCTCGAACAGTGAACGACCTTCCATTCGAAGTGGGTTTTGCATTAGTGTTGAAAAGGCACTGATCCACTGGCCTCAAAGAAGAACCTAGTATTCAATCATTAGCAATATTTCAAAAGCAATAATATCAGCAAACAGAACTCATCACAGTAGAATAATTTGCATCAATGGCAGCTAAAACAACAACATCAAATGCAAAGCTGCATTCAGAATCATCCAAATAAAAAACCCACATGAACAAAGTCCAAAAACATTAATTAGAACACCAAAGAGATACAATTACAGTCCTCCATGACTAAATCTAAAACCTTCTTCTAAAATTAGAAGTTTAAACGAAACAAATCCAGATCCTTGAATGCACAGATTCGGAAATCGAGATTAAAGAAAGGGATTAGTTGGAAATTACTTACCATAAACGAACTTGGTTTGAGGATTCTTAAGGGAAACAAATGAACTGTTGAGAGCACTCATTTTCCGGGAAAATATTTTGAGAATTCCTTCGCGGAAATAACGCTGGAAAATGATTTCTGGCTTTAAAGAATTTAGTTCCTTGGAGACTCCGAAATATCCGTGGGCGATTTGTTAGCTGTGGTTATTTATTTATATATTTATTTTACCGTATCTCTGTTATGAAATGGAAAAATAATTTAAAAATAATTTTTATTATTTTTATATAATTTTATATATTATTTAAATAATTAATTTTTTTTATAAGTAAAATATTAAATGTCTATACTCATTTAATAATATTTAAAAGTTTATAAAAATAATATAAAATATATATCCATATATTATTATTTTATTAAATATGGTCTGTTTTATAAGAGAAAAATACTTTTGATACTATATTTTTATTTATAAGATTTAAAATAAAAGTTTTATTTAAGTAAAATTATTATTATTTTATTTAGATAAAGTCTATATCTTTATATTTATATTATAAGGTATAATATTTATCTACCTTACTTTTTAATCTTTAGGAGGAATATTATTGCAAAATTATGTTATTTTAATAAATATTTATTTAAAAAATTAAAATATTTTATTTTTAAAATATAAATTAATATATTTTTTATCTTTTTTTTTTCTAATTTTTTTAGTGTAAGATGAATAAGCACTCATTTTTATATTATATTACATTATTATTATTTTCTTTTTTGCAAATGAACATTTGATCCTTTGGGATTAATTGATAAAGCCCAGCATGAAATGGAGATGATGTTTGGGCTGAAATGGGTTAAAGTTGGGTTTGCTGTGTCACGGTCCATGGACCTGTTCTTCTGCCTAGCCCGCTTCCTGAACTCCCAAGAGGAATTTCATAGAAGGGGTAAATGTTAATCATAGTCCTCAAGGTTTAGCGTGGCTAATGACTTTCTAATGGTTATCTTTCCTCTAAATGAAGTAATAAATTTTAAGTTTAAATCATAAGTATTCAAGTGAAGTAGATAAAAAAAAAAAAAAGGGAGAAAGTTGTCTTCGATTATGAAAAAAAAGGGTTTTATGCGCATGAGGATTTGGGATAGTAAACCATAGCCCTTGAGTTCTCCCTCTTCTATGTTTTATTAGAAGTTGAACGGGTAAATTAATTAGTGAATTGTAATTATAGCCTTTTTTTAATGAAAAACCATACGTTAAGCCCTCAGACTTGTCTTAAATTCTCAATCAAACTCTTAAATTTTTATTGAAATAAATAAACCCTTGAACTTAATAATTTATACAATTTAATCTTTTTTTTTTAACGATAAACTTAATGTTCATTTGTGTTTCGCTTTCGTAGAGAAAGTATTAACATTATATTACTTACATAGTACGTATTGATATTATTCATGCAAGTAAGGCACATATAGGTACTAAAGTATTGATATATTATTACTTATATGATGAGTATTGACATTATCTATGTAAGTAAAGCATGAACATTAAATTCACCATAAAAAAAAAGTTAAATTACTCAAATCATTAAATTTAGGAGTTTATTTATTTTAATATATAAAAATGTTAAGATTTAATCAATAGTTTATGATAAGTTTGGGAGTTTAATGTAAGATTTTGCTTTTTTTTAATTCCTTGATCGGCAACGAATGAATTGACGAAAACTAATTCATTATAATT